GAAGGCACCCCTGGCCTCACCCCTGCCCCAGACATATTCACGCTTTCCCAGGCTCAGCACGGCCTCGGTCCATGAGACAAAAATGCAAAAATGATCAGAGGTCAGTGCTGGGCCTAAGCGACGAGGCGTGCCTGGGGGGAGACCGAGGCACAGAGGCTCCACGCGTGATCACTGGTGTTCTGGCAAGAAGCCGCAGGAGGGTGGACTGGCAGGGCAACAGGAGTGACCCTGGACCTTCTCAGGACCTCTGGGCGCATCCCTGGGACTCGTGTCACTCAGAGGTGGGGACTGCCCTGCAGCAGGGAAGTGACGGTGTTCTGTAGGGCCACAGCGACCTTCTTGGAGGTCTTGCGCAGCAGCGGGCTGTCGGGGTGGTGCTCCTTCAGGTGCAGGATGTGGCCTTCCTGGCTCTCGGACGTGCAGCCGCACTCCTCGCACACGTAGAGCTTGGCCCGCCGTTCCTTGTACGCGTACTTCTGCTGCACTCCGTGGATCTTCTTGAGGTGAGACTCCAGAGAGCAGCGCTGGGTGAAGGCCTTGTCACAGAGGCTGCACTTGTAGGGCCTCACGCCTGCGGGGAAGACACGGGCCAGCATCAGGGACCTGAGGGGGACCTTGGAACCTATGTGTAGCTTCCACTTAGAGAGCGGCCAGGAGACCCGATTCTGAGGCAGAGGAAGGGATGGAGGGAAGTCTGTCCAATGCCAATTTCCCAAGTGACTCAATCAAAAAAGCTCTCACCAGTGGACTTGGGGAAGGGGTGGTGGCTCCTTCTCTGCCCAAGATGTCCCTCCCAGACTATCAATTCCTGAGAGAGAGCCAGAATTGCTGGAACCTTCCCACATGGCTTGGCCAGGCAGGTCTGACGTGCTCCCCTGCAGCCACGGGCTTCTGCTTACCGGTGTGAGTTCGGACATGTCTCTTGAGGTCAAAGGTGTCATTGAAGCCCTTCCCGCAGTATGTGCAGAGGTGCCTCTTGACGTCGTTGTGACATTTCATGTGGCGATTGAGCATGCGCTGGTAGGTGAAGGCCTTCTGGCAGATGTGGCAGGTAAAGAGTTCTCCACTGGGATTGTCCCCCAGGGTCACCTATGGGGTAAGACAGAATTTGTGACAGACATTGAGAAGTAAGGGCTGCAGGCTGGCAGACTGGGAGGATAAATGCCAGTACCCAGCGGCTCCAAGGAATGGGTGGCATGGTCTCAATGCTCCTCCATCAACATCTTAGAGACTGCTCTGTAGGTGGCCCTGTCACTTACAACTCCTCCTGAGACTCAGGTGCTGTCGCACCACACCTGCTCATCTGACACCCCTCCTCTGCCCAGCTTCAGCCCCAGGGAAGGTCCCCTTGTTGTTAGCTAGTCAAGACTTTTGGGGTCAGGCCTCACTTCTCCAGCTCATCTGCTGTCCTGACCCCTGGTTCTCTCTCCACACTCTCTCTACCCATGGGGCCCGAGGGGTGGGGAAGGGGCTAGAAGGGGCTGGAGGGACACCATGAGCA